GAAATCAACCTTTACAAGACCTTTCATGGCTACTCTTATGTAGTACTCAAAGAAGAAAGCCAAGGTGAGATAAACATCAAAGATGATCTGTTCCATAGGCCACTTTCGTTTTTCTAGAATGAAATGAATAAGTAACTATTTAGAATTGTTAATCTATATACTTGATGCTAAAGTAATTGACGTTGATATACTTGTGTCAAGCGATTCGTTGTCAACTTCAATTTCTAGTTCATCCTGAAATACACCATAATAAACAATCTTTCGAGATGTTATCCCATCATTACATAATCTTAAGGAGTATCTCTCTTTGATTCAGAAGCTAGCGCACGGTTTCGTTTTCTACAAAAATATTTAGTTCTCACCAAATTTTGAATTAGAATGAAGTCGATGTGTTTAATGTGGAATCGCTGATGAAGATTTTCGTACGATTCAATAAACTTGCCTCGGAAAGTCTTATAAAATACTTTGAAAAAAAAACAATTCTTGATTTTCAAAAGTCTGACCATCTGCATTTGTATCGTGATAGTATATCAATTAACTTTTTTTTCGCCTATCCCATTCAACACTCCATTTCATGATGTGGAAGAAGCTAAGTTGTTATTACTAAGGTGTGGAAATCTTTGGATTCAACATGTACATGAAGTCAAGAAAAATAATGTAACGTACACTAATGATTCTCTCAGGAGACGATGACCGACATATTTTCCTTTTCAATCTCTCTATGTGTGATAATTGACGAAGGAAATATGTTATTATGAACCATGTATGCAGTACGCACATATACAGAGAAAGAATTCAAGCAATACGTTCATCGTCGACGAATTTATGCATTGTTCTTCTTATTATCAAGCGAAAATGTATCTCGGCCAATTCATGGAACAATGTCGATGGAATTTCTTGTCTGATACAGAAGAATTGATCTGTTCGAAGACAGTTGAAGAAATCATTGATCGAATGTATAGAAAAAATTTGTTCAGTTTGGTTGATGTCGAAAACTCGAGTGTGAGTGTGGAATGATGAACATTGACCTTCACACTCACATCCACACCCAATACATTCAGTGCTAAAGTGAGTTCTAGGACCTGTTTCTACAAGGAACTGTTCTGACTGAAGAACGGTGAGAGATTTTATGCAAGAGCTGAAGCCCCACCAGAATAAGTGTTCACACCTCGTCAGACGATGTATTTGATCGATGGTAACTGCTTAATAGCCGTTAGGACTAGCTTTATATAGCCGAACCATGGGATGAGCTCTTTTCGATGTTTGCCACGAGGTGTTTGGTCAAGGAGAGCATAAACTGACTCCATTGTGTAGAGATAGATAGAGGCTGATTCATCTGGTGTTAGGTCATCCTTCGGATTTTTACATTTTTCTTTAGCAATCCAGATATCAGCTAAAAGATTGTCGATGAGATGAGAAATAGGTTTGGCAGCTTCTTCGAGTGGAACAAGTGGGACTTTTTCATAATTCTGAATAACAGAAAAGAAATCGTATGGCTTGTTGCCCGCATCCAAGAATCGTTCATTTAGCCATTTCATGTTGCTTTCGTCGTCGACGTATCTGCTTGTCATATTATAGTTAGAAAATTTTTTGGTTTTCAAAATGAGCTACTTGTTTCTCATTTATGAATACTGAGTATAAAGAGGGAAAAAAGAAAAAGTAAGGGTAACATTTTTCTTTCTCTGTCTCTTTCATCTTTTGTTTTATAAGAGATCTATATATTTGTCTATTTGACCACATATGAAAATTCTTCTCAAAAATAGAGGATGAGATACTCAATCCTTTTTACTTCCACAAAAAAATAAATGCATAAAATCTTTTTTAAATAAAGAATGGAATCTTCCACTACTTGGATGACAAAAAACGTAGTTATTGATGTTATATGATAGAGTTGTAGAAATTTGATCTGAACCTGTCAATCACAATGAGAACAAGCTTAATATCAACCTTCTCTATTGGCCTTTGAGAGATTCACAAGTTTCAAAATAACCTAAGTCACGACGTCATATACTAACAAGAAACTGAAAAATTACAGGCTGAAGAGGATGCAAGGGTGTGTGGGGGTGAATGTATTTTATCCACACTCTTTCGACTTTTCCTTCCTCCCATCCCATCATATGCCTCAGCAACTAGTGTTAAATACGTTTCAGTGTTCTAGCTACGACCCCCACACCCACACCCCAAGCAGACAAAAATTTTGAAAAACACGTTTAAACGCACAATCGGGAGCCGCGACTGTGATCCATTCACGCTCATTAAAAGAACGCACAAAACGACGTTTTTTGTGCAAAATAGTCGTTTTTGGAACGTGAAAACGTTGAAAAATTGAAGAACGGAGCGTTTAAACGCGTTATTTCTGAACTCCAGAAAAAAAGACCGTTTTAACACAAAAAACTGAAATTTTTCAACGTTTTCACGTTCCAAAAGTGACTATTTTGCGCAAAAAACGTCGTTTCGTGAGTTTTTTAATGAGCGTGAATGGATCACAGAGCTATTTATTTAATCATAAAGACAAACTACAATAGAAAAAAAAATTAACAAATGATCAATTTATAAATATTAAAATCATATCAGAGGATAGTAGGTTTCGTCAATATACAGCTACTCGAGTGTAATTGTTTTGAAGTCTGCTGGCAGAACTATTTCGAGCAGCTCACAATCATCGGAATAACCGACAACAGCATGCTTAATGCATGGAGGTTGGATCCAGCAGGAGCCTGTCAACATAGTAATTGTTCCATGTCCTTCAAATTTTGACTTTACCCAACCTTTGAGCACGTAGACCATCTGAAAATCGACTTCATGATAATGCAGCTTCGATACCACCTCAGGACGAAACGGTGGCATAAAGCGCAGAACATGGGCCATAGCCATGCCATTAGTTGCTTTGGCGATCCCAAGATTGCGATATTTCGCATATGTTCGTAGTCCATCGCTCTTGAAGTCCTCTTCGTTCAAATGACTGAAGGTAAACTCCTGTGTTGGTCGTGACTGAGTTAAATTAGGTGATTTACAATCATCATTTAATTCTATTATTATGCTATTATTGGTATCTAAAGGTCTTGTTTTAATCATAATGAATTTATCGATAGCCTTCTGAACATTATGCAATGTTTGTTCTAGTTGTTCAAGTTCTTCACGAGTTGCATCACCTTTCACTTGTAATTGAAGAAGTGCATCTTTTGTATCAGATATTATTTTCTCTTGTTTTGATTTATGTTGTTCTATGATTGTTTGAAGTTGAATTCGTTTTTGTTCATAAACTTTATCAATAATATGATAAGTTTCAGTTTTCCATCGTAAAAGCTCATCATATAAATTTGTTGTGTCAAATTGTTGAATTTTAGTTGATAGTGGATCAACTTGATGAGCTAATTGATTAATTTTATCTAATATTGATTTTTCATCTGTAGATGAATGTTGTAATGTTGTTGCCATAACTAAAATAAATATCTTAGTATTTGCTGATAGTGCATGATATTTTTAAAAAAGATCGAAATTTTATATAAACTTTTAAATTGTCTAAAATGTCAACATGTAGCCCTATTGGAAGAAAGGAAGTCTGAGAGCAAGTGAAATTCTACTTTTATCTCAATAATCAGTAGTAGATTTTCCAGTGAATGATATTTAATAGAATTAAATTGTGATATATAAATTGTTATGACATAAATGTAATAACGTGCGATACAAAAGTATTAATTGCCGAAATCTTCGGTCATGGTCCTCCGCTCACGAACGTCGAAGAAAGTAAATTTGATTTTTATCAGAAAGAGAATCTTCTGAGAGACAAAAATCATAGGTATGAAAATTTTTGGAATTGAGTTTGAGTAGAAAACTCTCTAAATATCAGTCATTTTGGTTTCTGACCATGTTCTTTAACTTTTTTTTAAAGTTTAAAGTCATATTTGGAAAGAGCGTTAAAATCTACATCGATCTGGGTATCTCTCTTATTCATTCCGCTATCCGATGACAGAAAATGTCATTTTCTAGAAAGATGGATTTAAAAGCACGTTCCTTAAAATTGCTGGGTAGCTGAAAAAAATAAAATGTTCGACGACAAATGAAACGGAAGAGGTGAACTATGTTTATAGACTCTGAATTGCTAGACCTCACGCCATTGAAATCATATGTTTGGAGATATCTTACATGAAACGTCTACAAAAAACAACAGTAAAATATTGAGTTTTTTAATGCTTTTTCAGAAATTGCGAAATATCTAAACTTTTGTTTTGAAATTAAAAAGTAATATTTGTGAGCTGTATTTATGAACTTTGTCTTAATAAAAAAAAACTTGCTAGTCTCCTTTTTTAAATAAAAAAGAACTCTTCAATCAAGCGTTATTAATAATACAGTAATACGCATTTCTTAAGTGGAAGAGACTTTTGAGACACCCTGCATGTCCGATTTCCCTAGAAAATGCCACCATTCCTTTCAAAACCTCAACTGAAAAAATAAGCGTCAATCCGTGCAGTTGAAAATTTCTACTGAAATTTACCGCTTTTAGTTCTGAAACGAACATAAGTCATGTATGTTATTGTTACTAATAGTTCAATACTCTGGAATTTCGCAAAAGAAGGGAAGAATAGACTATCTGAATAAGTTTCAAATGTTTTTTTTTTACAATACTGTCTATGAAAGAAGAATTTTTTACCATCAAAAATCAATATTACATTGCTTTATAATTAAGTGGTCTCATTTTTGAATCTGACTCCTCTCATTCAATGCTTGAGTTTCTTTCCCATTCATCAAGACATTTCATTTTAATTGATGGGCAAATTTAAACAGAGTTCTAAGAAGAACTTATCATAATAAAGTCTCGTCTATTCGGATATATTGATCGAACATCTCAAAAAAAAAGAAATATGTCATATACAATTTCGATAGTGATATATTATTAATAAGCATCATTTGAATGATGTTCATAAATTAAGTTTCAATTTTACTTGTTGCCTTACTTTTCTTGAGCGACGAAATCGTTGTAATTGACAATTATTCTTTGTTTTGTTTTGTATTTCTCAATGAACAGAAATCTGAAGTACGTATAAAAAACCCCACCCATTAAATAATAATATGCGCTTTTTGGATATTGAAAGAACACTTTTTTTTTGCAAAAGAAACTCGGCAATAAACACCGTTATGTATGTTATACTTACTTTGAAGCATTTTAAATGTTTCACTGTGTCGAATTGGCCGATATCGACACAGTGAAACAAAAAATGCATCAGCTTATCGACAACGAGAAAGCACAAAAGTGTTCTATCTCAATTAGCAAATATGACCAGATAAATAACAAAGTGTTGATTTTTTATCTCCGTCCTCTATGTCAAGTTTACTTTAAAGAAAGATACACTCCAATTTAATGTTTATTGAGCGTGTGTGTGAGACGGTGGTGTTTTGATGAGGAAGCGAATGGGTGTGGGTGTGGGTATGGGTGTGGGTGTGGGTATGGGTGTGGG